TAATACTAATAATAATAATGACACCAGGGGGACATAATAATAATGACACCAGGGGACATAATAATAATAATGGGGACATGCTCAGGTGTCATTATTATTATTGTTGCTATTCTATGCAGTGGAAGTGGTAGGTGGTGAATTATTCACACATTTACCATGAAAGTAGAATTATGGGGAGAGTGAAATGCGCTCTTCCCCCCTAGTTACTGAAGCTGTCACAGATTGGCTCTCTTGATCGAGAACTGAGCGATCACATACCGCTGATAACTCAGTTCCTGCACTTACTCTCTCTACAGAGAGCGGTGACTGTCAGTCACGGCTCCTGGCAGGAATACCCCCCCTCCCCTCTCTGATCCTCCAACGTTGACAGGAGGGATGGATGGGGCGGACACAACCTCTAGAAAGGTAGAGCCAGCTGTCAATCAGGTGGTGGGGTGGATCTGGACAATATTTTTTGGATCCATCCCAGCTGCAGCGTGGCTCTGCTCTGTCAGTATATAGCTGGCAATATTGCATGGGGGCGTGGTGTTGGGCCCAAGAAAATGTTTGCCCGGGGTCCAATCAATATTAAAGACGGCCCTGAATCCCATATATAGATATGAGAAAGCAGAGCATGAATACAAGAAACAATAGATGTATAGAGCATTGTAGGATATAATAAATCATACCCGGCTGTCTTGCATTATATGTGAAGAGATATGTTGAATAATCAAATCCTCAGTATGTATGTTCAAGCAAGGGCATTCAATTCTATAAGATATACACTGAGAGGCCAGATTATAATTATGACCACCCCATCAGTACTTCGTTAGGTCACGCGATGACTCCACGAGATGAGTTTGTTGGGCCGCCTCGTGACTCCACGAGATGTTGAAAGGTGATGCGAGGAATCTGACACTGCACTGTTGCCCTTCTGTTGTCTTGTACCAGTCTTGCCACTCTCCGTTCTGTCCTAACATTGACTAGTCGCTGACGGCCACAATTCGCACGTTCAGACCCAGATTTTCCGCTGACAGTCCAGTCTTTAAACACTTTCACAATGAGCCCCTCTTGAACATTTAACGAATTCTGCTGTTTTGCTGATACTCACTCCATGGCTCCGAGCGCCAACAATCATCCCGCGTTCAAAGGCTGTTAAATCACGTTGTTTACCCGTATCTTCAGAAAAAAATCACTTCTACTGTCGTGGTAAACAACCTGCTTCCCTATTTATAATGGTCTGGCCCTCTAGCAACGTCAGCACGAAATTATAGCTAATTTGCCTACAAACGTCAGGTGGTCATAATAATCTGGCCACTCAGTGTATACCCAGTGTGGCCTCCCCAGGTGGCCCCAACTAGTGGAGTAGGCCTCTCTGTTTGGGTTGATGACCAGTCAGTGTGTATTTCATATGCCACAAAGTATCTAGTTACCTTGGCAACCATTGACTATGTGTGATTTGTTAATATTAATATTTAAGCTTCATGGTGTGTTCTATGACAATCATTTAGATTTTCCTGTGGTTCCTGATGAAGCATGACAGAGAAACGATAATTAATCAAGGGAATCAAGGAACTTTTATATATTTAATCAAGTACAGATATATTGAGTTATGTACTTACCAACGGAAAGCATAGGATTTGTATTGTTATTGTTTTTTAACTTTTTACATGGATTTTTTTTTAAAGCCCCTGTTATATATTTTTGGTTTTGCCTTTATACTTTAAGAAAAACATATGTAATATTGCTAATCCAATATAGTTAAACAATGTACTAATGCAGGTAATACATAGTTTATGAACTCTGCACATTTTTGGCTGCCTAAACAATTCTGTATACCGATGCATTGTTTAAATGTATTGGATTAGCAGTTTCATATGAAGAGCGGTGTGCTTACTCATTCATTTATTTACTTTAAGGAGGAATATACTTAACCTTCAATATCTATAAATTATTAAACGTTGTGCATTCCTGTGATCCCAATGGATTACCTGTCACTTTGCCGTAGGTCAGGATCATAGATTCACAAACAGCTTAATTAATCTCCTATAGATCATATTCCTTTACTGTAATTACTGATATAGAATGTGGTTGATCCAGGTCCATTGTCCAATGGGCATGCCTTCCTCCGCACACCCAGATATTTGGCCACATTACTACATTTTTTCTTCTAGATTACAATAATAAGTGGTTTCAGCACCAATTTCACGCTGTTGTTACAATATTACAGAGCAATTGAAATAATTTTAAGAAGAAAAGAAGCTATAATCTTCCCTTGTACTTTTGGCTTATACTGTGATTAGGTGATAATGCTCCTGTCAGCACTTGTGTTGAAATATGCTTCATGGTGTGTTCTATGACAATCATTTAGATTTTCCTGTGGTTCCTGATGAAGCATGACAGAGAAACGATAATTAATCAAGGGAATCAAGGAACTTTTATATATTTAATCAAGTACAGATATATTGAGTTATGTACTTACCAACGGAAAGCATAGGATTTGTATTGTTATTGTTTTTTAACTTTTTACATGGATTTTTTTTTAAAGCCCCTGTTATATATTTTTGGTTTTGCCTTTATACTTTAAGAAAAACATATGTAATATTGCTAATCCAATATAGTTAAACAATGTACTAATGCAGGTAATACATAGTTTATGAACTCTGCACATTTTTGGCTGCCTAAACAATTCTGTATACCGATGCATTGTTTAAATGTATTGGATTAGCAGTTTCATATGAAGAGCGGTGTGCTTACTCATTCATTTATTTACTTTAAGGAGGAATATACTTAACCTTCAATATCTATAAATTATTAAACGTTGTGCATTCCTGTGATCCCAATGGATTACCTGTCACTTTGCCGTAGGTCAGGATCATAGATTCACAAACAGCTTAATTAATCTCCTATAGATCATATTCCTTTACTGTAATTACTGATATAGAATGTGGTTGATCCAGGTCCATTGTCCAATGGGCATGCCTTCCTCCGCACACCCAGATATTTGGCCACATTACTACATTTTTTCTTCTAGATTACAATAATAAGTGGTTTCAGCACCAATTTCACGCTGTTGTTACAATATTACAGAGCAATTGAAATAATTTTAAGAAGAAAAGAAGCTATAATCTTCCCTTGTACTTTTGGCTTATACTGTGATTAGGTGATAATGCTCCTGTCAGCACTTGTGTTGAAATAGACGGTTTCTCTGAGTTTTGTACAGCCTTAAGCAACAACTTAATTGTTATGTTTGGAGGGTGCTGCATTATTATTCCATACTGGTTTCTTTTCTCTTGAATCCGGAGCCAGAAGTATGCTACGAGTCTACAGACACAAAGTGGGTGATTTACTAACCTAAACACACGCACGCACTAGGTGCGTGTGATTTTTACACAGCAAAACGTATTTATCAATCAAAAGTCTCTAAAAGCATATTTCCACTAATGCCATATATGGAAAAAATCATGCACATGATGCATATATAATGCTGCTTTACAGTTTAGACAAAAATGGTTAGCTCATGCATTTACCGTATATACTCGAGTATAAGCCGAGATTTTCAGCCCATTTTTTTGGGTGAAAAGTGCCCCCCTCGGCTTATACTCGAGTCAGCGCCAGGTGTCATCTTACTTACCTCGCCGAGCGTCGCGTCACTGCTGCTCCGGTGTGCGGCGCTCCTAGCGGGGTCATCTGGCAGTCTCCGGGTCCTAATTTAGGTGGCCGGAGACTGCCAGATGACCCCGCTCGGAGCGCCGCACACCGGAGCAGCAGCGACGCTCGGCGAGGTAAGTAAGAAGAAGAAAAAACCCCCCGCAGCGGCCAGTCAGGCAGGGGAGCAGGGATGAGTCAGCGGCGCGCTGATCAGGCGAGAGGAGCTCCAGGTGGGGTTGTAATTTAGCGGGCAGGCACCTCTGAGCCAGCTAAATTAGGACCCCACCTGGAGCTCCTCCCACTGGACCAGCGCGCCGCTGACTCGTCCCTGCTCTCTCCGTGATGTGATGATCGATCACCGGCACACGGACACAGTGAGTGAGGGCGGCGGGGGGGGGGGGGGGAGAGAGAGATTCATTAAGCAATTATATATGTATTGTCTGCACTGTATTAGCAGTATATACTCTATATAGAGTATATACTGCTAATACAGTGCAGACAATACATTTACAATTATACTAACATGAATGGATTAAATGATCTGTATGTAGCCCTGTACTATGGATCATTTAACCCATTCATGTTAGCAGAGGATCATTGTAAATGTATTGTTGCAGGCACTCTATATGTACATGTACTATATACTACATATAGAGTGCACTGAACAATAGATTTACAATTATCCTCTGCTAATATGAATGGGTTAAATGATCCGTAGTACATGATATGTAGCCCTGTACCCCCTTTTCCACTTACAGAGCTAGGTTATTTTTCTTTTAAATAAATATTAATGTAATTTTATTGGTATCTATCTACCAGTAGCTGCCTCATTTCCCACCCTCGGCTTATATTCGGGTCAATACTTTTTCCCAGTTTTTTTTTGGTAAAATTAGGTACCTCGGCTTATATTCGGGACGGCTTATACTCGAGTATATACGGTACATTCCTGCATTCATCAACGCAAGCAACACAATGTAGAGCTAATTTACACAACATCACCTTGCAATTCATGCAGGGCTTTGCACAACACACCTGCTGGGTGTGTACACACTACAAAGGTGTCTAGATTCCACCAATAGATCATGCTGGGAGGGAACACACTACAGAGGTGTATACTTGTTCGTGGCGTGTTTATAACGCTAGTAAATCAACCCCAACGCCTCAGGTATCTTTTGCTGATCATTTAACCACAACATAAACCATAACAAGCAGATAAACATACTTGTAAATGTAGCCAGATTATTGTTATGGTAGCAAAGTGTTGCTGAATGATACAGTCAAGGCCGCCATTAGAAATCATGGGGTCCCATACAGCCTACTCAGGCCTTAGTAACGCACTGGTCTCTGAACTTAGATTGTAGTATGGTCCCAAGATTCCAAATCGCTTTATGGTCACCACTCCCAAGCTAAGTGCACTTGGATGCTGAAAAAAGAAATTCCAAATGTATCAATCTAATCTAGCCAAGCATAACACAAGGTTGCATAGCACAGAATGATGTAACAAAATGCAAGTCTTTTTGAGAAATATAATAAATGACTTTTATAAACGTTAAAGTGGAGGTTCTCCCTAGAATTACTACATGAACATTTAACAGTCATATAACACATGCAACTTGATAAATGCATGGTACCATGTTTGACTTCTATGCGCTCCAGTTGTCAAGCTCATGGTTTTGCTCAGCCCACGTTTTGTTATCTACATTTTCACAAAATGTAGATTGCATGAGTTGCATGGTGTCTTAACGGTTTCACGCCCTCTTGAACTCTCTCTTCAAAGTTCTTTTCAACTTTCCCTTACGGTACTTGTCCGCTATCGGTCTCGCGCCGGTGTTTAGCCTTAGATGGAGTTTACCACCCGCTTTGGGCTGCATTCCCAAACAACCCGACTCCGGGGAGGCCGGGTCCCGCCGCGCCGGGGGCCGCTACCGGCCTAACACCGTCCGCGGGCTGGGCCTCGATCAGAAGGACTTGGGCCCCCGAGCGACGCCGGGGTAGGTCCGGCCTCCCGTACGCGACATCTCCCGCGCCCGCCGGGCGGACGGGGATTCGGCGCTGGGCTCTTCCCTCTTCACTCGCCGTTACTGGGGGAATCCTTGCATGGTAAAGGGCAGTCAGTTACCAATGCTTTGCCTGACAGAATTCAAACATGGTGCTATACATTTTGCAAGGAACATGTGTAGTATGGTTGTTTAATGTTCATGGAGTAATTCTGGGGTGAAAATCCACTTTAAATCTACTTAAATCAAGACAACTTTCTAGGTGCTAGCAATACTAGTTGTAGTTGTTGTCTGGAGTTACATTCCAATTGCATTTTGTTAAGTTTTGTGGAACCATAAAAGATATGTATTCATTATATAAGACTGGCATAAAGCGGACTGTATTGAAGATGTTACTTGAGCACTCAATAACAAATCTTATGACTCTCATATCAATATGTGATGGTTCTTTTACCTAATTTGTCATACCTAGAAGCTATTAATCTGAAAGAGAGAGGGAGGAGAAAAAAATAATATAAATATTTATACTTCAACAGACATGATACCACGGATCCAAACATTTGAAGGGGCTGTCCCTCTTTTGGAATCAAATACCTTTGTCCCTCTTTCCTTCTGCGATGGTCCTCTTTTTGGACACATGCATTCTAGCAAGTTGCAGTGCACGTGTGTAAACGCAACAGTCTAAATGTGTCCTGAACCTTCCACTAAAACCTTGGCTCTCAACTGGTGGGTCATGACCCAAAAATGGGTCGCGACCGTTTGTTCTGTGGGTCACCACATGCCTTACACTTTTCTAGGTGAGAGGCTCCTCAGCCTCCCCCTAATGCAGCACTATAAGTTCTCGCACTGAGTAGCCATTCAAAATATGCTGCCCAGCGCTGAGTGTCGGCTTGGGATGGGCTGGGGGTATGACCGCGAGAGAGCTCCATCCATACATGCATTGCTTACAGCTCCCTCTCGTGTCCTGTAGAGATGCCTGGACTGGAGTGACATCACATTCTGGCTCCCGGCACCTCTACACAAGGGAGCTGTACCCAGCAATGCACATATGGATGGAGCTCGGTCACAGCACCACACTGCACTCCGGGCTGAGGATCCACTCCAGTTCTCGTAAGGTAGAGAGACTGGGTGGATCTTAATAAAAAGAGAAAAATATTTTTTGGGGGAGTGTGTGTGTGAATGTCTGCAAGTGTGTGAGATTGTGTCTGTCAGTGTTTTTGAGGGCTCATTCACACTAGTACAGTGTGTTGATTGAACAGTCCCGTGTGATTAACGCATTGTACCATGCAATCGCACCTACCGTGCGTTCTGTACAGGAGGTGCGTTGCCAGTTATTTGAATGGCACCCCAAACACATCTCCTGCCCACAGTTCTATTGCCAGCACCGGAACGTGTGGTACCGCAATACTGTGCGTTCCTGTGTGGTACAACTTGGGTCGTGACTTAATGACCAAGGACAAATATGGGGTTACACAGGTTGAGAACCACTGCACTAAACAAACTGAAGACTGCCTATTTGTAAACAGAGAAAAATGTGTCTTACCGTGAATATGGAATTGCCATAGACGAAGGTATTTTGTGTCAGTCCTGTAGTGTTGTCATAGAAACGTGGCCAAGTTGTTACTATATTGTTAGACACTGATTTTTTTTCACCTAAAATGAAATAGATAATCCAACCATATATAGATATATAAAAGTGATCAGTTTATCAGATACAGTAAGTATACATTTAAACACCCCACCACCACCAACAACCTTCCTAGTATACACATAATAAGGAATTATTTTAAAGGATAGTTTTATAATCCCCTCTGCAGTCTCATTCGATAAATGCAGAATCCCCATTTTATCCATCTCACCACAAAGCAGTCAAGTCAGCATACTCCTTAATTCAGAGCTGTGCAGGGAAATGTGGTCACCTATTGCTTTATGTTCCTGCACTGAGTGGGACATTTTCCCCAGTCATCTTCCAGGATAGTAAGTGAGACATAGAGGTTCCTCCCACCAGGACAGGAAACACATTACCAGGCTACATGTTAAAAGGACATCCCCCAGATGTTCTTCTAATTTTAGCGTTTTCTCTGTCCAGGGGAGATGCATTGCCTGTAACCAGGGTGAAGGAAACTTCTGGTATCTCTGGCTATCCTCTTATTTTTCCACCCACCCTTTTTCTACCTCTATTCCCTGGGAGTAGATGGTAGATGTTTTCATGCTGAACTGCCCTCCAGGGACCTTCCTTAGTACAGAAAGGATGTGGCCTGGTTTCCCCTCTCCTTCTGTGACTGGTAAAGACCATGTCCAGAAGTGGCACATTCCCTTAACAGGGACTTCCATGAGCAGCACAGGTTCCCAGGCTGGGTATCTGGGTGTGTGCACTGCCTGTGCCAGGGATGCTATATGGTGGCATTTGCACGGTAGCTGGGACAAGGCTGTGTTACTCCCTAGGTCACTTTATTCACCTATCCTAAGTGTTACCTAGGGTCCTTTGGTGTTGCACTCATGATGGTGGGGCACTTTGTTGGGCTCTCCCTTTAATTGTCTATATTAAACAGGAAGGACAGGTCTGATTCTCTGTTCCTGTTTCTTGCAGGTCACAACTCTTGGAAAACTGAGAGGTAATCCTCACAGGAAGAGGTGTGCAGTCTGTGGCTCTGAGCTCTAACTCCTAGACTAAACCTTCATGGTTAAGCTTGCACCCGTGTTGCTTTTCTGGTGAGTACTGGGCCATCCTTAATTCCTTACACTTTGGGCCTGTATATGAGACTTCTCAAATGCTACTTACATTGAAAATATTCTGCTCTCAGAATTAGCGAACTGCAAGCCCTTTCTGCCAAGGAACCCTTTCTTTCTATTTGTGATGACCAAGTCATTTTGAAGAAGCATCCTGGACTCCTGTCCAAGATCTCTTCTACTTTCTACAGGGCCCAAGACATTATTCTACCTACTGTACCTTCTGTGACCAGCCCTCTAAAAGCAAAGAAGAGAGCTTCCATTTTTTGAACGTCTGGCATTGTCATTTAGCCTACCTAGGTGCCACTAAAGTCTTTAGAAAGTCTAGTGCCTTGTTTATACTGTTTGCAGGCAAGCAAGTTAGGTGTAGATTGGGGGTAAGCAGGCCTCAAAATCCTTCATTGCTCATTGGATCAGATTCACCATCTATAAAGCTTGCTGGATAATGAAAACTACTCCACCTCCTTTTGTGAATGTAATGTATATGCAATGACAGCCTTGGCAGCTTCCTTGGTGTAAAAAGTTGGTGCCACCCCAGATTAGATTTGTAAGAGTGCTACATGGCCAAGTTTTTCCAGGTTCATACATCATCATCTGGATCTCTTGTCTAGCTATGATCAAGCCTTCGGGAGAAAGATCCTTCAAGCAGTGATTCCTCCCTTAGAGTTGTTGCTCTTACTCTCACATGCTGGAAGACGACTGGGGAAAACAAGAGGTAGACTTACTCGTAGCTATATTTTCAGTAGTTTTCCAGGATAGAATGGTTTCTACTCTGTGCTGTGATTAGAACTGTCTAATCATCGGTTTTCGGGTATACAGAGAAGAGCGTCGATGGGACATCCTTTTAACATTTACCTTATTGAGCACATTTCCTGTCCCGGAGTCTCTCACGCACTGTCTTGGAAGACTACTTTAAATAGAGTTACCAGTAGGTCTAACTCTGGGTTTTACCATGCTTCCTGTAACTGACATCCAATGTCACATTAAAGGGAGTGCAAGAAAAAGTAATGCATTCTTGTGCTTTTAGAGAACTAGGAAGAAACAAGTGAGCACCATTTCCTTTCCAACTTGGTTTTAATACTCTTTTTTTCTAAAGATTGAAGTAACAAAGATTGGAATGATTAATCATTTATTATGCACAGTATTTACATGTACTGTATTAGGATGTACTGTATAGACAGCGCTCAGTACTGCCTCTGATATGTATGCTGTATACAACATCACTTCTCTTGTGCTTTAAGTTTGGTGTAATTTTCAGCATTTGTTCTTGTGCTGTATGTCAGGTGTAATTCTCAGTATTGGGAAGCTCTACAGGTTATGTGAATAGCTACAATACCTTTAGATGCCTTACTTTATGTATCAGGTTTAGGACCCCAAGTTTGAAGACAGAATAACTTTTAGTCATACAATAATTTCAAATGTCTCCTTACCTTCCATGTCCAAAAAATACTTCCAGACTATGTTAGGTGTAGATTGGGGATATTCTCCATTGAAGGAACCCAGAGTAATTAATTGGGAATTGTGGCGTTTCAAAGCTTGAATGAAATCAACTCCAGGCAGGGGCTATAAAGACATTAATGAACAAAATGCATATATGAAAAAGAGGAAAGGATTCCTTTATGTTGGGCTGCATTGTACATCATAAAAATATCCATTACATAAAGCACTTAATGTGATCAGTGCTCAGTTTAATAGTTATTTTTATGCTGGGCAGCACCCACTATCATTGCTGAAGGACTGCTGAGAGAAATGCATATCAAGGATTATTTTCAGGGCTGCTAGTCTTATTTAATAAAAAAGCACAGAAAGAAATGAAAAAGATGCAGTTACTGACTAAACTAATTTAGTTTATTTTCCTTGAGGTTTGATTAATCCTAGACATATTAGTCATCTTTGGATGATAACACCCACTTGCAGCAAGCACTGTCCTTTTTGGTGCCTGCTACAATTCCAATCATTGAAAGCCATAAAATTTAGCAGGGGTCCATAGTAAACCCAGAATAGCTGTATCCACGGCTCTTAACTGTCCTTTTTGAACCCAAAGTGTTATGTACAAAAAAAAGTCAGTATTTGCATCGGATTTTGGTTTGTCTCCAGAGGTAATTTAGGACAGCACGTAGGAGCACGTAGAAGTTAGATACAGGCTTAGACGACCTATTCTACTGTCTGTGTATTAGAATAAGAATCCGCTGTTTTTAAATCTCATGAACATTTTACCTAATTATCAATGTTATAAAAACCTTCCAAAAAGAATGCATCATGGCCCTTTACACATTATTGCTACCTTATAACAAATACTATTACATCCCAGGATCTCCACTACAGCAGAATTATACGTTTGAAATACACTCATCTGATCTGCCAAAAAGTAAATTGAAGATTTGCCAAATACTTCTTTGGCCCTAACACCTTTACTTTCTCCACCTCCCTAATTATATTTCCTCATAAGCAATAAAGTCTTAGAAAACATATTCATTATCAAAGGATGTGACAGGGAGAACTGCATGCCAGCTCGGGATGGGTAAGTGAGGAACATTACCAAGCTCTAAATAACACTAATATTATCCACGTCTAAGGCTAAAATTTGAAATTGACAAATTCACAATGTTATACAGAGAATGCTCCATGTTGCTTGTTGGTTTTGTTATACTGTTTACTGCATGCTGTTTTTGTGATACTGCCTGTTGCTTTCTAGTTTTGCGATACTAATTGTTGCTTGCTGTTTTTGTTATGCAGCATGTTGCTTTAACGATGAACACCACATGAGTCACCAAAGGGCTCCTGTGCAAGGACAGTTTTTACAACTACTAAGTAACCACCTAAGCCTCATAACGATTAACTATTTGTCCATTTCTGACAGCAAGTAGATTCCCAGCACCCATCTGACCCACACCAGATGGAGGAACCCTAGACCATGGAAATGGCTACAGGCTTCAAAGACTATGGGGGAATTGATCAAAACTGGAGCAGACAGAATCTGTAGCAGTTGCCCATGGCAACCTATCAGCATCTCCCTTCAGTTTGCTCAGGTAAGATTTGAAAATGAGAGAGAAGCTGAGTAGTCGCAGTGCAAACCTGCTCCAGATTTTGTCTGCTCCAGATTTTGATACATTTCCCCCTGTGTGGTCTTAGATATGGTAGTAGCATGAAAACCTGAATGCTGTAGGAACTGGTAGTCATTAAATCTAATGCAGGACAACCAGCTGCAAAGGATCACTTAACCTGAGTGTCCTCGCCAGTATGTACTCATCAGTTACTGAAAACAATGCATCAAGTTCGGTGGTGAAAAATGTCTCATGGGTTGAAAAATAAAGAACCACAATGGCTTCTATGCTCCCAATATTCTTTATCCAATGTAGGCTGAGCCTGGGCACAAAGAACACCTGGCCACAGGTAACAGTGAATGTCAAAGCAGGTTCATTGTTTTCTTTTATTATATATTATACCGACCCACACAGTTCCCTTAAAACAAAAAATAAATCAGTTTTTGAACATTTATATACAGCACAGTACATTACTGCTGTAGGACCAATGAGAACACTTTTGGGATTGCTAAAGTTCATTGACAGGATTATTTGCACTTGAAACCATTGCAGGAACATAGATTAACTTATAAACTTGCTCTACTGAAGACTCAGGGGCTCACAAGTCTTGACTGGGGAACATATTTGGCCCCAAACTGGCCACACCCCGAGCCACCTACACACATACCCACCAGCTTTCACTTTCAGTCCTCTGTGCTCCATGCTATAAAATGTTGCCAACTCATGCATGCCACGTCCCCTGACTATGGCATCACAATGCATATATGGAGAAGCTGGCAGAGGGGGAGCCCTGCCACCTGACCTTGTGCATGGGTATTAGAGGTATGTACTCTGGTGAGATCAGAGTGCCACTCTAATGAGTAATACCAGTTTGAGTACATTACAATAGCAGAGTACATCACATAGCAGGACCCACTACATAACAACATCCCCTACACTCATTTCCACACAATTATGCAAGTAGGCATGTTAATTACATTTAGCGGTACAGTTATATAGATCGGAGGAGAAAATGTATTCAACATATCCAGTACTTCATTCCAGCTGTTACCTACTACACCTGCTTGACGTAATTGTGATTTTTAGCAATTATGTTTTAGTCATTGCTGATCAGTATGGTAAATAACAACGGCTATAGGTTAGTGAATTGAGCCTACTGTGTGTTATCACCAGGGATGAGTTACTCCAAACCCAGAATTGCCATGGGGCCACTCGCCAAATCAGCTGCAGGCATAGGCATTTCCCGCCCCACAACTGAATATAAAAAAGGGTTGGGATGCTCGTGCTGATGTCATTGATCTTTTATGACCTCATGGCTATATTCAGTAAATGGTCATATAAGGCCAATGATGTCACTGAACCCCGCCCCTTTGCTTATGTGCAGCTACAGGCAGCTGATTGGGCAGCAGTGAAAGAGCCTTTTGCCTTCCATGTTAGGAGGAGCTCAGGTTTGGCTTATCCCTATGATACCACAGATTTAAGTGATACATACAGTATATAGCAGTAGATACAGATGTTTACTAACACATACAAGCAGTGGATATATGAATGCATATAGCAAATCTACTTTTGTGTCATGTATGTATTTATTTTTAACATTTTCATTATTTGGATAGTAACATCTATTTTCGGTTGTTCAGCTGTATTTCTGTATTTACCTGGACAACAAACCCATGTACATGAGCCTGTTGATTCCAGTGTGGGACACGTAGCCCCCCGGGTTTCAGATATAATACACATAAGGATATTCCAGATTGATGTTTATGGATGAATGTTCCAAATATGCGTTCTTCTAAACTTGTATCTCTCTATATCTGGCACATCGGATCCCACCTCCCTCAAATGTCTCAATCTATGGAAAGAAGAAAAACAAAAGAAGCATAGCTAATAAAATAATAACACATTGTATATGAATTAATAAAATCACCAGCAACATCCATAATATTAGGTTGCAGAAGAGTGTTGAAATGCATGGTGCGTATTGGGCATTTGCTGGAACCCAAAGAACAAGGAAATTCTTGGAGACAAGCCCAACAGCACAGGGAACATTAAAGTGACACTAAATGCAGGAGCCAAATCTTTTGTTCCCCTGTGTGTGTTGTAAAGTAATCACAGCTCCAAAATCACTCCTATGATGGACTACAAGCTCACTACAAATTACTAAACTAAAGGTGACATTAGGGTCCATCACGGGAGTGAGTAGCCACCCTCCAGAAGGAAGGACAGGAAGCTCAGGGACCTTAGACAGCTAAGGGGGAGAGACACTGGAAGGACTGGTCTAAGTGCAAGCTTGCTCCGAGAATCTGGTGAGTATAACTTTTTTTATTCTTGCACCTATACCAAAACGAGCACTGTAAGGGTGAAGAAAAAATGTCCCTGGAGTTCCTTAATGTTTCGTCATAAGATTTGCACATTTTATTTAGTGGAATCTTTTGTAATAAAAAAAAAAAGGCGTCTCTTAGCAACATGTGGCTCTGTCTGACTTCCCGCCCAGCTTGCTGACATCATCGGTTGCCAGCGAGCAGTGCGGGACACTATGGCTGCCGTCATGCCACCTCATGGCAACCAGTGGCATCAGTCAGCTGGGCAGCACCAGACAGAGAGCCGCTGACAGGGAATTGCTCTAACACAGCCGTCTGTCCTACCGTATCAGTCGGATTTCTCCTGTAGAGCACATCCCAAACAGTCATTTTCATGCATGTTTTTGGCTCCCAAGTGCATAAATTTGCATTTTTTGTATATTGATTCTGCTATGTTATAGCCCACACCTCCAATTTTATCTACGCCTTGCTGCAGTGATTATATGTCTTGCTTCGAAGTTAGTGTCCTACATAGTGTGGTATCATCAGCAAACACTGAAATTGAGCTAATTATTCCATCCTCTATATCGTTTATGAATGGGATAAACATAAACTCCACTCACAACTTCTGAACATTTAGAAAAAAAGCTATTTATTAATAGCCTCTAGGTTTGTTCCTGTAGCCAGTTTTCCTCCCATGTACACACAATTACATCAGTACCGATAGATCTTCATTTGTAAATTAGATGTGTGTGGGGTACTGTACCAAATGCGTTAGGAAAGTCTAGATACACCACATCTACAGGGCTTTCCATATCTAAATTCCCATTCACTTCCTCATAGAATGTCAATAGGTTTGTCTGGCAAGAACAGTCCTTCATAAATCCAAGTAGGTTGTTATTTGTACTTCCATTCTCTTAGGTAGAAATGGAGAAGCCAAGCTTGAATAGAGGTGGTGGTGGTGGTGGTGTTGGGGGGGATATCTATTGTCTGCCACATACAATGTTGTTTTAACATTTCTCTCTGGGCAGGTTCCAACACCTCCTAGCTCCAATTATGCAAATGCAATCAACACCTGGTTGTGACTAAGAGATTATGTAGATTGGAGCAACATTCACCATATTTATTCCCAGATAATTTTTTGTACAAGTCATTCTGAATTGAAGAAGCTGGTCGGATGACCAATGAAATGTCTTCACGAAAAAATACAGCAA